CTTTTATTAAAGGAAGGCAAATCATGGATGCTGCTCTTATTGCCAATGAATGTGTTGACTCTAGATTGAAGGAGAAGAAGCCAGAAATCTTGTACAAGTTAGATATAGAAAAAGCCTTTGACCACGTTAATTGGGACTTCTTAATAAACATGTTGAGACAGATGGATTTTGGTACAAAATGGACCAATTGGATCAGATTTTGTATTAGCACTGCCAGATTTTCAGTGTTGGTTAATGGCTCGCCTGAAGGTTTCTTTCCCTCACACAGGGGATTGAGGCGAGGGGATCCTCTATCTCCCTTTTTTGTTCATTATAGCTATGGAGGGATTGAACGACATGCTCCACACAGCACAACAAAATAATTGGATCAGGGGTTTCAGGCTAAACAACAGACCAGGTGAAAGTCTGGAGATATCACATCTCCTCTACGCAGATGATGCCATTATTCTTTGTGATGCAGAGATAGACTCAGATAAGGATGCTGAGAGTTATTCTTACAATCTTTGAAGGCATATTAGGGCTTCATATTAACCGGGGGAAAAGCCTAATTTTCCCGGTTTATGAACCTCGGCAGATTCAACAACTTGCGGGGATTCTTGGTGGTGAAATTGGTGTTTTTCCAACTATTTATCTTGGTATGCCTTTGGGGGCTAAGTGTAGATCCATTGATATATGGAATAAGGTCTTGGAGAAATGTGAAAAGAAACTAGCAAGGTGGAAAAGTCAATATATCTCTTTAGGAGGCAGGCTAGTACTTATCAATAGTGTACTGGATGCCCTTCCTACTTATATGATGTCTTTGTTCCCTATCCCTCCAAAAGTTGAAAGCAGAATGGATGCTTTAAGGAGAAAATTTCTATGGCAAGGCAACAAAGAAAGAAGAGTGTTTCATTTAGTTAAGTGGAAGACAGTCACTCTTAGCAAGAGGCAGGGAGGCATGGGAATAAAAAATTTTCGGAAACAAAACCAAAGCTTACTCATGAAATGACTGTGGAGATTCACAACAGAAGAACAATCATTATGGAGGATGGTAATTAAAGATAAGTATGGAGAGGCAAGGCCCTGGAAAACAAAGATAGTAAACACTACCTATGGGGTTAGTGTCTGGGAGACAATCAGAAATCTTTGGCAAATGTTCAACAACAAAATCAGCTATAAAGTGGGTATTGGACAGAACATTTCTTCTTGGGAAGACAATTGGTTGGGACATGAGCCTCTTAAGACAATGTACCCAGACATTTTCTCAATAAATCAGCAGCAGAAGGCCACTGTGAACGAGGTTTGGTCAGCTAAGGGTGGAATCTCACTTATAGAAGACTCTTAAATGATTGGGAAATCACTATAATTGCAGATTTTTACAACAAACTCAATCAATTCACTGGGGTCAATCAGGATGTAGACAAGGTGTGGTGGTTGGGGCACAGCTCAGGAAGGTTCTCAGTAAAGTCTTCCTATCAGATGCTTAATCAAACTAATATTTTGTTGATCTTTGTCCCTGGAAACGCATATGGAAAGTAAGAATACCCTACAAAGTGGCATGTTTTGTTTGGTTGGTTGCTAGAAAGGCTTGTTTAACACAGGATAATTTGAGGAGAAGGGGAATATCTTTGTGCTAAATGTCACTTATGCGGAAGGGAGGAATAAACCAACAGTCACCTTTTTCTGCACAGCTCGGTGACGGCTCAGGTTTGGAACAAATTTATAGCACTAACAAGGATTCAATGGGTCAAGCCCAATAGCACCATGGAAATGTTGTCATGCTGGAACAAGGGGAGAAGATCTGTAAGTGAGAAGAAGAGATGGGGTATGATTCCTGCATGCATATGGTGGACGCTTTGGAATGAGAGGAATTCAAGATGTTTTGAAGACGATGCTAACTCAATGCAGAAGATTAAAATGAATTGCCTACTGCTTTTTCATCTTTGGTGTAAACTGGAATACATAGAGGACTCAGAAGCTATAATAGATGTTCTTGGGTCTTTGTAAGAAGATAGATAAATTGATGTATATTTTTGGTTATCCCCTATGTAATTATGGCATGCACAGCCTTTGCGCTTTTGAATATAGCAAACTGTTATCATCTAAAAAAAAGGAGTTGAACAGTGAACAAGCAGAGAAAATCAGAAGAGGAAGAGAAGAGGAGAAGAGAAGAAGAGAAGAAGAGAAACTTACTCAAATTGGAAGAGCAGGAGAGAAGTCGTCAAGGTGTAGTCGTCGCTTGCAGCAGAGAAGTAGTGTGCGTATGTGTTGTCATGTCATGGGCGGCTTTCCAGCCATGCCCCATGACCCCTTGGACGCACCCCATGGTGTCCTGGCAAGCCTCCCAACGCCCAGCGCCATGGTCGGCCTCGTGGTCTCGGCAGCGCGCGCGCATGTGCCTCTGTCGCCCCACCGATAGCCTACGCCAGCGCCTAGCGGCTGGCAGATGCCAACAGTGCCGCGCGCAAAGACAATGCCGGGCGCACAGTTTATGATGATGACAACAGCGCCACGCGCACACACAATACCGCGCGCGCAGATCTTGATGCCTTGCCAGCGGTCAACCGCATGCAAACTCCAAATAGTGCCCGCCGACAGCACCGCGAGCGTAGACCCTGATGCGAAAGACAAAGTTGCTACCAACGGAACTATCTCTACTCTGTAGAAAACTAAGTCCTTTTCATTGTAAATATAGAGTAGTTTTATTTCATGTACTAACATTATGTTTCTCTAGCTTAGCTAGGTTAAGTCTTGTAACTTTAGTTTATTTTTTTTAAGCACTATTAGGGGAGACCAAGCAATCAAGCTTTCTAGCAAGCAAATATTTCTCAGTACTGGTGTCTCTCCCACTCGACACCGCGTAGCCTTTTGTAATAGCTTTCATTAATGCAATCAAGCTTTCATTCTCAATTCTCATTTTCGTTTCCGCAATTGCTCTTGACATTGGTTTTCCCGTACGGCACTGACAATCTCTTCTAGCGTACGGAGGGGACCTCAGTTGGCGGACAACAACCACACTGACATCGGTTGCTTAGCCTTACGTCGCCCTTCCAAGGAACCTCAGGAAGGCGCCGCGTAATAGTGTATTTGCAATTCTTTTGTTAAAAAACCCTAGGCTGCTGCTGGACATCGCTTAAGCGAGCTTTTCTGCGATTTTTTCATCGCCTTGCTTCTCGCTTTTTAGGGTGAGGCGTGCGCTTATTTACCCGAGTCACGCTTTAGGGCACAAAAGCGCAGGTCCATCGCCTCGCCTCGCTTCTGCACTTTAAGCGAGAAACGTGCGTTTTTAATAACACTGGGTGCACAAAAACGCAGATGCCAACAGTGCCGCACGCACAGTTTATGATGATGACAACAGCGCCACGCGCACAGACAATACCGCGCGCGCAGATCCTGATGCCTTGCCAGCGGTCAACCGCATGCAGACTCCAAATAGTGCCCGCCGACAGCACCGCGAGCGTAGACCCTGATGTGAAAGACAAAGTTGCTGCCAACGGAACTATCTCTACTCTGTAGAAAACTAAGTCCTTTTCATTGTAAATATAGAGTAGTTTTATTTCATGTACTAACATTATGTTTCTCTAGCTTAGCTAGGTTAAGTCTTGTAACTTTAGTTTATTTTTTTAAGCACTATTAGGGGGGACCAAGCAATCAAACTTTCTAGCAAGCAAACATTTCTCTGTACTGGTGTCTCTCCCCCTCGACACCGCATAGCCTTTTGTAATAGCTTTCATTAATGCAATCAAGCTTTCATTCTCAATTCTCATTTTCGTTTCCGTAATTGCTCTTGACATTGGTTTTCCCGTACGACACTGACAATCTCTTCTAGCGTACAGAGGGGACCTCAGTTGGCGGACAACAACCACACTGACATCGGTTGCTTAGCCTTACGTCGCCCTTCCAAGGAACCTCAGGAAGGTGCCGCGTAATAGTGTATTTGCAATTCTTTTGTTAAAAAACCCTAGGCTGCTGCTGGACATCGCTTAAGCGAGCTTTTCTGCGCTTTTTTCATCGCCTTGCTTCTCGCTTTTTAGGGTGAAGCGTGCGCTTATTTACCCGAGTCACGCTTTAGGGCACAAAAGCGCAGGTCCATCGCCTCGCCTCGCTTCTGCGCTTTAAGCGAGAAGCGTGCGTTTTTAATAACACTGGGTGCACCCACGGGATAGATTATTGGATATCTTTCGTATTAACCACCGTTTGTGTAGGTTCTCTACTTTTAGTATACTACTTGTATATGGGGTTTCTTACCCCATAACATCAATAAAATATTATTATGAAAAAAGAAACGAAACAAAGAATTATCTTGAGTTAAGATTGATAGAGCTAGCGGTGATTACATTATTGTATCAACGATGTCTATTTTGTATTCTTGTAGTTGTAGAAATAAAAATACCAATCTTTTCGCCAGTTGCTTTAGGAATTTTAATCTTCTTTGGAGTATTGCAATTTCAGTTCAAGATGCATTAGTTTTAACAGATTTACATGAATACATGAACAAGCGTGTGCATAAGCTCCACTTCATCCAAAAAATAAAACATGAATAAGCTCCAAATTCTGTTACATTTTTACATTATCTTCTTATTCTGCTCTTTTTTCTTTTTTTCTCTGCTGTGTAATTATATGTTGGTATTCCCTCCAAGGTGCACTAATCTCGTGGATAAGCTCAGTTGTTGTGTTCTAATGTTCTCATAGGATCAATGTTTTTGGTTGTTAGTAATTTAAACTTGGACAGTTCAAGATAAACTCTGTAGGAGCGCAGGGTCCTACAACACTGGTTTGGTTTTGGTTACCATGATACGATTTCTATGCATGCATATTAGAAATTGGCTGGGATGCTCTGTTCATTGGTATTAGCTTGTTCTTTAGTTTGAGGAAATATTATTTATATCTCTTCCTCGTCAAATATATTTATTATCTTTGATAGGCATCAAGCTTATATTCCTTCATGTTGATCTTTGAGAAAGGGCATCTATGGTCTATGGTTTCATGACTTCAGATCTCCTTTCAATGTGTTATTGCAGGGATACATATTCGTTGACAGGGATGGAAAGCATTTTCGCCATATCCTAAATTGGTTGAGGGATGGTGAAATTCCACCTTTGAAAGATTCTGAATATGCTCAGCTTTTGCGAGAGGCGGAGTACTATCAGCTTCTTGTAAATCCATTTATCTCTTTAATTGTTCATTGTGCACTTATGTATTATAAAGTACACATATTGGATGCGGTCATTAAGATTTAGGGGCAGATTTTGTTTGCTTGAACCATGTGCATATGCATTGCAGTAGAGAATAATTGCAATGGCTTCTCTTAGTTCTTTCACTGCCTTGGAGATCCTATTTCATTAACTTTTTGGTGTTTCATGTAGATGATATACATTTATTTGTTTATGTTTCTTGAGGATGTAGGAGCATGTTATAATAGCCTCTCCAGATGGAACACGACCGTTTTGTCATAGACCATTGAGATATTTGAGATAAATATTGAGTTTGGCTGAGATTTGCTTGGTTTATAAATTGTTCGGTTTTCCTGAGGTTGTAGTGAACCAAACCGCTAGCTGTCATGGTTCCTAAAACATTGATATCGATGCAACTACTCATTGTGATTTGATTTTTTCCGTGAATGTTTCTCTTGAATATATCTGTTAAAAGCTATCGAGATGTCAGTTAATCTTTATTTTTACCAAATAGTGGATGCTGTTTAGAAATTCAGCTTTTTTGAGAGTTGTAGATTCTCTAATATTTTGTATACTGTTTTTTTTATACGGGAGATCTTCCCAGAAATAATAAACTTATTCACCTTATCAAATTGTTCAGCTATTTTGAGAGATATAAGAATTTACTTGTAGCTAAATACTCGTCGTATGGGGTTTCTGTGTGTCCTTGAAGTTGTTAAAACTACTCAGTTTACCTGTTTCATTTCAGGGACTAGTAGATGGAGTTAAAACTGCTCTGAGCAAGAGGAAGGTGGATGAGGAGTTGGGTACCGAATTGACACGCATTGATATTATCAAATGCATACAATCTGACAGAGTCAGATTTCGGGGAATTAATCTTTCTGGTCTCGATCTTTCGAAGTTGGTAATATACTCTAGTGCTAGACTATTTCATTTCTTTATACTCTTATTTGGAGATACACTTGGTTAATCTACACTTTCTGGAGTACTTCTTATCCCAAACGGGATAGTTTCCGGTACCTTTGGTCAATAATCCAAGGTGATGGGGAGATTGATGAGGATGTCACACACAGTATTAAAGTAGGATGGATGAAGTGGAGGCTTGCCTCCTGTGTCTTGTGTGATAAGAAGGTGCCACTAAGACTTTAAGGTAAATTCTACAGAATGGTGGTTAGACCTGCTATATTGTATATGTCGGAGTGTTGACCATTAAAGAACTCCCATGTCCAAAAGTTGAAAGTAGCGAAAATGAGGATGTTGAGATGGATGTGTGTGCATACTAGGAGAGACAAAATCAGAAATGAGGTCATTCGGGTCGGGGGGGTGGATCTCGTGGAAGATAAGCTGCGGGAAGTGAGAATGAGATGGCACGGACATGTGAGGAGGAGATGCCCGGAGGCCCCAGCAAAGAGGTGTGAGAGGTTACACATGGGGTCTAGGGAGGGGTAGAGGGAGGCTTAAGAAGTATCGGGGAGAAGTGATTAGATATGATATGGCGCTTCAGCAGCTTACTGAGGACACGACCCTTGATAGGAAGTTGTGGAGGTCGAAGATTAGGGTAGAAGGTTAGTAGGTAGAATAGTGTACTTCCCTTTCATACCGGTAGCTTTAGCATTACGCTAGTTCTGGCTTATTCTTTGCATATTATTACCTATTATTGCTTCTGGTTCATTTTGTTTAATTCTCACTGTTGCTTATGCTTTCTTCCCATAACTTTTTCATTTTTATATATTGCATTTCTTTACTGCTGATTACTGTGCTTACCCGAGCCGAGGGTATCTCGAAAACAACCTCTCTACATGCACAAGGTAGGTAAGGTCTGCGTACACACTACCCTCCTCAGACCCCACTTATTGGAATATACTAGGTATGTTATTATTGTTGTACTTGATAACGAATTTATGCTTCATCTTCCCTCTCTAAGGGCAGCATCCTACTCATCCTTTTTTTAATTTTATTTATGTTGTTTATCAGTGTATAAAATGAATAAGAGAGCAACAATTTAGTGAGATAAAGAGGGTACAAGAAAGGACAAAGTTGTCCTCAAGTCTTACATTAAGAAAAAGGGGAAATTCAGAATACAACGTTTGTTCTCCTGCAGAATTTAAGAAATGTCCTGTGGCCTTACTCCACAAAGATTATAGAAAGACTACTTTATTCTAGAGATGGTCTTGTGAGAGATAATGATCCTAAAAGAGTTGGCATTCCTTTCTACCCAAATGCACCAGAAACAGACAGGTAGCAAAGTACATTTCCTAGTCTCTCTCTTTTTGCTATGAGCCGACGAGTTAATGACAGAAGCCTTAGCACAAGGCAGAGAATAACTAGTTACGGGTCAATGTGGCCAAGCAACTTATCCACCAATTCATTTAATTTTTGGTTTGTAATATATTTCCCTAATATTCCAAAGTCTGGCACAATTGCATTGCAAATGGATTCATACAAAGAGATGTGAATTAGTTACACTATTACTATTGCACAAATCCTGCTAATACTTACTTTTGCATAATATCTTCGCCGGGGTTGAGTCTACCATAAAATAGGGATGAAGTAAATTACATATCGGGGGCAAATTGCATTTCAGGTGAAGGGGCTGAGGTAAAATCTATAGACGTATGTGATTCAGCAATGCATGGGGAGAATTTGTTAGTAAAGACTACCAATGGCTCTGGGTTCCAAACTTGAGTATCTCCAGAGTTGGAGAATTCAATCTCTGAATGCTATGTGAGAATTCCACTGTTATCTAGGTTCCTTAAAAAGGTGAAAATTCTCAGAAAAGGAAGCCCATCTTGGTGGCATCATAATAGCTTTTCTTTTTCTGTTCTCCCCCCTTGCCTTTTTCTTTGGCAAGTTTGGAGAAGCCATTATTCGTGCTATTTTTCAGAAGTTTTTAATTAGTCAATGGTGCCTGTTTTATGTGCAGGACTTGTCATTTGTGGACTTCAGCTATGCATGTCTGAAAACCGTATTCTTCTCGCGTGCCAATCTTCAGTGTGCAAAATTCAGGGTATTATTTCTCAATTGAAAGTTGCTGAGTTTTCAGCTGCAGTTAGTGTGTAGATCATTGAGAACATTACTGTATATTTACGCAGTCATAATACCTTTGGGAGGGTGGTCGCCTTTTAACATTAGCATGACATTTCTTTTGTTTACACTTGTGATAATAGTCTATAATCTAGAATATACAATAAGAACAAAGTAGCACTCCACAATCTTTGGATGAGCTATTTGTTTTCGGTTTGGAAGAGGAAGGGAGAAAAGTTGGAATTTGCTAAGCCATCACTTTGGCTTTGTTTGGCTAAAAAGGAGTTCTACTGTTATCTACTTTTCCAAGATTAAGGATTGTGTTCCGAAATGTTGCAATGGTCTACTTTAGCAGAGCACTTAACTGGAGCTAACTGGGAATGCTTCAGTCCCATCCATGGTGTTGATGGGAGATGAGTGTCTTAGCAGCCAATTTTAGAAGAAAATGGCTGGACTGGGATTTGACTAGGTTATGCCAGCTTGATCATAGGCTTGTAATCTTGTTTGAGTGCAGTATCTATATTATTGTATAGGAAGGAGGAAGAAGTTATTGAGAGGGGTAAGCCATGTCATACGGACTCTCTATTTTGTCTTGCAATGCCCGCATTGAATAGGTATGGCATGGGTAATACCATGTTGGATGCACACCTTTTGCAGATTCTCATACCCCAGTCCATGTAGTAATATATAGACGATAAGGATCCCAAATCAGTCGCACCGATTTCCAGTCTTCTTTGCAAATTATCTTGTGCTCAGGGTTATTTGCACATTCTCTTGGATAAGTGGTTTCTTAATAATTTATCAAGATTGGATGTCTTATGTTGTGTAAAAAAAGTTTTGGAGATAGTAAACTATGTTGCATGCTCTCCTATTTGCCTTGATGTGCCCACATCGAATGGGTATGATAGGGTAATATCTTATTTGATTGCCTGTAGCTGAATCTCATACCCGACTCCGTATAACATAGACATAAGGATATGAATCAGTCTCAAGTCATTTCAAGTCTTTGCAAATTGCCTCATTTGGTGCTGTAAGGTATTTGCAAGCATATTTCCGACTAAGCTGGTCCCTTATAAGTTAAGTGCACAAGTTCGCATGTTTTCTCGTGTAGCCATTGTACATAGCTGGAATCTTTTTGTCCTTTTCAGTGACAACTCTTGATTGCTAATCCCGTAAAAGAAAAAGTAAAAGTTAGCTTTTATGTAGGGATACTCTTGGTTGGCTGGTGGTATATGTAGAGTCCTTGTTTACAAGGGCTCAGGTGACAGTTGTACTCTTAGCTCCTAATACTAATATCTGCGCATGACTTCAGTCACTAAATAATGATTTTTTTTTCTTGGTCGGTCTTTAACTTTTGGCACAGGATGTCGATGCTGAAGCTTCCATTTTTCACAATGCCACATTGCGCGAGTAAGCTAAAGAACATGATCTTTCGGTCTCCACATCATTAGTAGATCATGCATAGCATCTAATCATCTTTTCATTGTTCGATGTTCTTAAGATTCATTCACTATACAACCCCTTTTAACAGGCTCTACATATTTGTATAAAGGAATTTTTTAAGCACACATGTTATTTTATAGCTCATCTTTACTGTCAAGTTGCAACCTTAGTGATTTTGTCTTGCCTAGGGAAGATGTGAATTCACTGGAGCAAACCTTCGTGGAGCTGTATTAGCTGGTGCTAATCTTCAAAGTGCAAATTTACAAGGTAGTGGTTAGAACATATTTGTTTTGATATTTTCTAGTAAGGTAAATAATTTCATTAAGGGTAGCCCGGTGCAGTAATCTCCTCTATGCGTGGGGTCCGGGAAAGAGCCGGGACTACATTGGGTCTTATATACGCAACCTTACCTTGCATTTCATTAATAATGGGAAAATCTCCCGCATACAAGTAGTATATGATAAAGTAGAGAATCTACATCAAAGTGTGATGCTCTAGGAGCGAAACCCAATCTTCTAGACAAACTGGAACCTCATGGATGCACCAAAAAGAAACTAAAAATGAGAGGCTATTCCTCAAATGTACATAGGCACTCTCCATCTCCTCGAGAACTCTCCTATTTCATTCCATCCACAGGACCCAATTTCATCACCTTGAAGGTTATGTTGCTGAAGAAGTCTTCTCATCCTTTCATAATTATCCTCCAAAGTCCACATCCAAAAGGAAGTGACACTTCTTTTGTCATAATGCTAGACTCTTTTCAATTCTCTCAATCACTGGATTCCACACTGCTTGGTCCTTATTGAAAGCACCTAAGGGTAACCGGAGATGAGTAGTTAGCAGAGCTCCAATGCTGCAATTGAGCACTTGTGTTAGATTTTCAATATTGTTCGCTTCATCCTCGGGAATGGTCTTACTTCCTGTGTTTGATCTTGAGGGCTGACACTGGTGGAACCTTATAAGAAGTTGTCTAAGATAATCCAGTGGTTCATCCATGTATGCATCACAGAAAACTAAAGTGTCGTCAGCGGACTAGAGATGTGAAACCCTCACCGTACGTAGCCCCCCGATCGCTGCAGAAAAGTCTCTCAAGTAACCACCTACCACTACTTTATCCATCGTTCTACTCCACGCTTCCATAACCAGAATGAAAAGCATGGGGTATAATGGGTCCCAGTGGCTCAAGTCGCTTAAGCTGCCAAAGAAACCACACGGGCTACCATTCACTAGAACTGAAGTCTGACCTTAGAAATAGTTTGTGGATTTTAAGGGAGCTGCTAACTCCCAACTATCACTTATGGGTAATTCTACCTACAAACTTGCTGTAAATCTTATATCTCATTGATGATTGTCCTCGACTTTAATCAATCACTCGACTACGCCTTAATGTCCTCAACTTTAATCATTTGGAGAATTTCAGTGTTGGCTTGCTGCTGTTACAGATGATCTTGCTTTTATTAAATTTGTTTGCTGTCTTCTTCTGTACTTCGAAAGCGGATGGAGCTGCTCCTCCCTTAACCAGAGGTCTCGAGTTCGAGCCCTGGGTATGGAAAAATCCTTGGTAGGGAACGCTTCCCCCCAAATGGGATCCTACCCCGTGCGAATCCGGATATATTCGGGCTCCAGTGCCGGTACCGGACATCAGGTGGGCAACCAAAAAAAGAAAGCTAGTCAATGATTCTCTTGGATGTTTAAATTAGGAAATTTTGTTTCTATGTTAGCTCTAGCAGTAATTTACATCGAAGTATTATGTTGTGTCCATATACGAAAAAGAAAACATGAAAATCATTTTTTCAATTTATCGAGAGGAATGCCAAATTGACTCATTCTTTTGAATTTAGCCAGAGCAATGCCAAGTTACTTCATTGTCTTGGATAAAGACAGATTTGAAAAATTGAATAAAATTTTTGCCACTAATAGGACCCAGACCTAATTTTTCTATGCTTGATCAACAAAGCAAAAGAAATAAGATCATTTCCCTGTATAATACTGTTAAACTATGTATGAAATTGGCATATATTTTTATCTGAAATATTTCCTGATGATTTAGCAGGCTGTTCTCTTTTCACATGTAAAGCATGAACAGTCTGCTTGTGATCAAGAATATATGTTCTTTCTTAATATTGTCCTTCTGTCCGTCATTTTAATTATTATGATAATCCTCGTTTATTTAAATACAGATGCCTGTCTAATAGGCTGTAGCTTTTGTGGGGCGGATCTTCGTTCAGCTCACCTACAGGTTAAATTCTTTTGCTGCATCCTCTTAATCCCACCCTTTTTTACATCTTTTCTTGAGCAAGATATTCTATTAGAGCCCGCCTCTGATTCATTTTAAATATAGTTCTTATTCAACTTTGATGGTAGAAACTGAGTGAACATAAGATTTGCAATGAGAGGCCTAGATTCTTATCCTTTGTTTATATGCTCTCACCTGAGTTTTACAACACTGTTCAGCATTTTTATTCTGGGGCTTGTGTGAACATGATAAATTACTATTTATTCTCAAACTCTCAGACGGCTGATCTTACCAATGCCAATCTCGAAGGAGCTAATCTTGAAGGCGCCAATCTGAAGGTAAAAGATGACTTTTAAAATATCTTTTGCTTATACTTCACTAGAAGTTCACTCAACCCGACTAGATTTCATTCCATTTTTGCTAAAATACTACAAACTGATCTTTAAAAAGGATTGTAGAGTACTCCATGTAGGTTTTTGGCTTTTTGCTTCCTGCTTGGACCACATCTTCTTGAAATAGGAATAAGTGACCTTTCTGTTTAACCAAAAAATCGTTTAACCCTTTAGTTAAATCCACTAACAGGGAGATAGATGGTAAATCTTAGCCAAACATAATTAACTCTAGATCAAGATATATTGAGTATAAAAATTGGAGAAGAACAAACTGATTTAATATTTCTTAAGATGACCACCATACATCAAGTGAAATGGTAAGCTTACATCTATGACGGACTCACACTATAATCGTAAGAGCATAGAAGAAGAGAAGAAGACTGTTGATAGCTAAGAAATCTCCCCCTGTTGGTTCCGTAACGATGACTATTAATGTGATAGCCATATCTGGATCCCCCGTTATGATCTCCTGCCTATCTATATATACTAACAATTTTCCCTTTTATCCAACGGTTTTTGTCCGGCGTGCTTTCTCATGACTGAGTTCTTTATCACTCGCCCAAAACATTACGTGTGTCCTGCGATATAAGCTTTCTAACAGCTCGACCCTGGCAGGAACCGTGGTGCCCGTCGCCATTACACCTCGTGGGCACGACCATAGCGTGGGCGACCTGTTACTGTCTCTTTTAATGATAACCATATGGTAGTCAGATTTTGACCCATATGGTTAGTCCCTCCGCCCGTTGGGGTCGTCTTTTGGGGCGAGCTCAATGGGCGGACCCTGTGTGTTCAAGGATTTAGGAGAAATCTGATTATTATACGAGGACGGGGTCCTTATGGCGAGGTGGCGATGTGATGTTTTAAGGATTTTATCGGACCGTCACGTCCGTTAGATGCATTGTCACGTCGATTCAGGGTGTCATGAATGCCCGTTATGTGTCATTATGACGCACGTTTCCCACCACCGCACCGTTTCTTGTGCCCTTTCAGCTTGTTGGCGGCTCTCGGGTTTCCCGCTCAGGGCGTTTGTGTTCCTATATATAGGGGGAAACCAACATTCGATCGTTACGCTTTTCGACTTACCTGAGAAATTTTGCAAACTTCCACCTTCTTCAATCTTTCACATTTCTATTTTTGTCAGAATTTGACGTGACCACCCTCTCTATTTCTTCATCATTCTAGTTTATTCCGATCGAACTAGATAAATGGCTGGTACCTCTTCCCAGACTGACAAATTCGTCGAAGCTCCGGTGCCGGGAAGTGATGTGCGCCTTCTTGGAGAGGAAATGGAGGTGACGGAAGATGAGGGATTTTCGACTATGGCTGAGATACTGCCCTGTCCGGGGAAATTATGGACCGACTTTAACAGCCCTGCCGGAGATTAACCGAAACCTGTCTCTTCCACCATGGATGAGGCGGCGATTATGGCGCTTAAGGCTAAGTGGGGAATCCCAAATCATATCGACATGATTCCGGCGACGGGGGCGGACATTGTACATTTGAATCGCCCGGGGTACTACGCATTTCATGCGTATCCTTTTGTTGTCCGATATACGCTTCCTCTCCTCTCTCTAGTGATAGACTTCTGCCGCTTCTACGAGGTGTGCCCGGCTCAGCTCTCACCGTACGCATACAAGCTCTTCCTCATGCTCATCGAGTATGCGGAGCTCGCCGGTCGAGGGATTACTTTGGGGCACATGCTTCATATTTTTGCCCCTTCGGGGCATGATGATCCACATGCGCCATCGAGGAACCAAGAGTTTAGTGGTGAAGATGGATGATAAGGCTAATTGCCGTTTCTGGGAAAACTATTTTTATGTGCAGACAAAGCATCTTGTGGCGGACCCGACACGGTTTCCTGAGACGTGGAACTTCGCTCGTAAGTTTTCCTTTGTTTATTTTGCGATTCCTCTCAAGGCGGTTGTCGATCGTTCTTCTTTGGGTGACATTGCTGACTTGTTTTCGCTTTTGTAGCCGAGAGATTACCTCCCCCACCAGTTGACCATATCCGTGAGTGGGTGAACGCAATTCTTCCCCATACTAGGGGCATTCGTGAATGGACGTCATTCCACGAGAAATATGGGCGTAAGCCTCTCACTGGTGAGTCGACTCGCTTTCTTTGCTTTATGGTTCGATCTTGTCGTTATATAACCGTTTTTCTTTGTTGGCAGGGAGAACACGAAGGACGAAGGCTCTTCCACTCGCATTTCGTTGACCGGCGCCCCCTGCCCGGTCTGCGCCGAGGGCTTCTACCCAACCTGCACATGCGGTCGGAGCCGCGTGCGCGGGGATCTTCAACTCGGGACTCCGGTTTTTGCCGTCCACTCGACGGGCGAGTATTCCCGTGTTGGAAGTGGAGAGGCCCCATTCAAGAGACGACAAGTGGTCTTGGAAGTGGCGCCTCAAAACGAAACATCGTCGGGGGGCGGCATTTCCTTGACAACGCCCGAAGTTGGCGGTGATATCAACTTGGTCGTAGAGGCTACGCCTGTTGTGAGCAATCAACAGGTTGATCTGGTGGAGAGACGGAGTCCCGAGGCCGCCATAACAGTTCGGGGCGGCCCTTCGAAATCCCGACCGAACCGCGCTTCTTCTTCGGCCGAAGAGAGGGTAAAAGCGTCGTGGTCGATGATTATGACTCTGAATCCGACCTCGATCCTGATGACGTTAGGATGTTCGAGGAGGGCCTTACCCGAATTGTGGTAAAAGCGGGAGGTCCTTCTCGGATACTCGAGATTCCGTCGGACCTCAACCTTCTACGTGACGCGGTGGATTTTGTACCGCAGTTTGATCTTCTATGCTCGGCCGCAAGCGGGGCTCTTCAGGACGTCAGTGACGCCGAACTGTCACGTGAAGTGGCCGCAATGGGCCTAAGGGTAAGTCCCTCTTTGTATGTTTCTCTTTGTTTGTTTGTTGTTGTTGTTTTTGTTTTTTCTTTTGATCTCGGTCCTTATCAGCTATCTTCTTTTTGTTTTTAGTCTTACATTCTGGAGGTCGAGAGTGCTCGAAGGGCCGAGACTCGGGCTAAGGTTTTTCTGACGATGCTCAAAAAGTATCGGTGGTATCGCAATAGATGCTGTGAGATACATGAGCGACTCAGGGCGGGTACTGGCAGTGTTTGGAAAAGCGCGCGCTTTATCGCTTAAAGCGCGAAGCGACAGAGCATCACTTTTCTGTGCCTAAGGCGACGCGAACAGTTGAAGCGCACACTTCAGAGGAAAAATCGACGAGGCGAGCGAAGCGACGAATCGATGGCTTTTGTTCTAAAATCGCAGTTGGGCCTTTTAAAAAAAAAAGATTGTGTCTGTTTTTAATTTATACAAACCCCTAATTGCTGCACGACATAACAGAAGCCAATTGCTGCGATTTTCCCTCTTCTTCATCGAAAAAATTACGGTTTTGGGACAGAAAGTTTCTGCTTTCTTTTCTCTTCTTCATTCGTAGCAGACCAACAACAGTCCACAGCTCCAGTCAACCAGTCCAGGTAAATTTTCTTCTCCTTTCTTCTCATTTTTTTCTTTTTTCTTTCTTTCTTCATTCTTGTTCTATTTTCTGCTTCTTTTGATTCGTCACTGACTCCCTGGAGTTCTAGTCTTCTTTCTTCCTTCTTTCTTCTTCTGAGTTCTGTCTTCTCTTTTTTACTTCTTTCTGTCATTATTTATAATTTATATATTTTATAGTTTTCAGTTTATTTGATTTTTTTAGTGTATATTTCAGTAATCAAAATTAATTATTATATATGTTATATTTTCAGTTTATGTGATTTTTTAAATGTATATTTCAGTTTATATAATAATTATTATATATATATATATATATATATATATATATTATATGTATTTTCAATTTATTGATTATGTTTTTTCTTATATCTTAATAGGGATATTAAAATGTCTCAAAGTTCGAAAGAGAAAGACCCGGCTTGGCGATATGGCGAGAGAGTTGATGAGAAGAATACAAATGTTGTATGCAAGTTTTGCAACAAGATTACAACGGGTGAAATTTATCGCTTCAAATACCATCTAATTGGTGGCGATAGAAACGTCACAAGTTGTTCGAAATGTCCACCGGGGGTGAGGGAAGAAATAAAGAATTTTGTTGAGGAGAAGGAGCAAAAAAACCAAATGAGTCATCAACCAATGGTGACCAATCTTGATGATGATGATGATGATATTGAAGAATTGTCACTTCCAACAAAAGGGGGAAAAGATGGGTCAAGCCATGGATCATCGACTAAAGGTCCTATAGATTGCTACTTCCCAAAGAAGCCGGAAGTAGAGGGCGATGGAAAAGATGTACAAAAAATTGCTAAAGACATTTTGAGGGATCGTGCAGTTAGAGCTTTTGCACGATGGGTCTATGATGCTGGGCTCCCCTTCAATTGTGTCAACTATGACACTTTTGGAGACTTCATTGAGGTTGTTGGTCAATACAGACCTGGAATGAAGCCTCCCACTTATCATGAAATAAGAGGTCCTTATCTAAATAAGAAAGTGGAGGAGACTAATAAAATTGTTGAGGAGCATAAAGTTATGTGGAACAAGTATGGCTGCTCCATTATGATGGATAAGTGGACGACAAGAACGGGAAAAATGATTATTAATGTGTTGGTGAATTCTCCCCGGGGAAGTTTGTTTCTTGAGTCCATTGATGCTAGCGACTCATCCACTGACCACATCAAAATGTTCACCTTGTTTCAGAACACCATCGGAAAGATTGGTCCAAGCAAAGTTGTTGAAGTGGTCACTGATAATGCAAGTGAAAATGTGAAAGCGGGTGGCATGACGGAAGGAGCGTACAAGAATGTCTATTGGACTCCATGTGCGGCTCATTGTATCAACTTGATGTTTGGGGACATTTTCAAGGAAAAACCCTTCTCTACAATTTTTGGCGAGGGCGTTAGGGTACATTCTTATATTTCTCAGCGGCCCTTGTTATTGAGTATG